TACAAATCTTTGCTGATTGCTACAAATCGATCAAATCAACCGGGAAGTGTTGCGGGTTGCCTTGAAACTGAAGCGGACCAGCTTGAATAGTCGGGAAACGAGAAGAAGTTTGACATGATAGGGAATGGAATCCTTACTCAATACTAGACAGGGGCACGTCAGGGCGGATTCCACGGTAATTATATGGGCTTAGTCCTTTGAGGAGACCGCCTCTTCAATGGAAATGGGTGAAATTCACGCCCAAGCTTAACTTGTCATTGGATAGTCGTTTCTCCTCACTGTACTCTACCACACCATGATTGGGGGGCCCAACCAATGAGGAGATAGGAGGGACAACTTCACCTATTTGAAGAAATACGAAGGCGATGGGAGCTTGGCGGATAACTATGAATAGGCTCGATCTTCAGTTAGCTTCAACTCCTTTTCTTCAGTTGTTGGATCGACACGTCCTCGTCAACCTATGGGCGTTTATAGGGCCAATTGTTGGCGTTATTTTGGTGAGTTACCCGCTCTACGATTCCTTTAATTGATCATGGATCGTGATAATGACCACAAAATATTTCAGGCTAATGTGATCTTCCTCGGTATCGCGTTAAAGGTTGTGTTGTCCGTGAAAAGCCGTGATCGCAGTGATCGTGACAGGATTTTGGGATGGCTCAAGGTAGGATTCAGACCTCAAGACCCTTGGTAGGGCTGAGTGAAGCATCACTTTTGTAATGAGCTAATGCTTGAATCCGAAGGCGATCGAACGTCACCTGTGCTATATAGCGTACTCATAGTGCCATGAAAAAAAACTGTCACGAATTGCTCTCCTATTTGGGCTAGAGTCTGGTACAGGGCGCATCCTAAAAAGCCTCACCCTAGAATTTTACCTTTTCTGTCGCTGTAACTAGTTGTTATTTAGGGTTCTGCAACACTGCTTGTGTTTACTTGGTGTCACATGGATTTTCGGATTCCTCACAGCCGTCAGCGGGGTCGGTGGAGTGGTCTTCTCATGGATTTTCACCATTCTGAACTGCTCACAGGTGAGTTCTCGGCATCTCTCGATCTTACTTAAAAAAAGTCGACAAATAAATTTCTTCTTCTGAATTCAAATTTTTAAAATGTATTTGTGCAGGAAATCGAGCTTTCTGCTAACGATTTTCATGTTTCATATTACTTTACTCGCTTGATACGTCTTTTATTTTATTTTAGCATCACTATATTTCAATTCTACGTTCCTGAAATTCAGGGAGTGTTCATCTTTGTCCTTCACGTCGTAATGAATGCAAAAGTTCGCTTGACGGTGGTTCGGTGGCTACGAAGCGGAGTTTGCTGCCTTCCTGACAAATCCAGCGCCGACAACAGCAGGTCACTTTCGGTTTTCTCCTATTAACTGGTTCAAATTTCTGAAGATTTTCTAAAATAAGCAATCATTTGGCACAGCAACGGTCCCCCCGCGGAGGCCGCCGCGTGTCGTATAACGCGCGTTATGAGGATTTTGCTCAAGTTTTAACACATTGACGACCGCGCGCGTTTTGGCTTTTTTGGCCGTGTGGGACCGGGCCGATTTTGCGAGTGCGACCGCCGCACCTCGGATCCGTGAATTTTTATTGATAACTTTTTAAAGCACCAGTGGTACAAAAACATCTCAGTAACAGTCAATGCGTAGAAGGTAATAGAGTATATAGTGACGAAGTTCCGATTAAAGAACATGTAATGGTAATGAAAAAGGAAATTTTAGTCATTTTATCTGTAGTGGATGCCAAAAGCTCTTTTGATGTGGTTATACCAAGTGAAACATGTATTTTTCTGTCTCTTTAGATTTGCATTTACTTTCACTACCCTTTTTTATTGACGTGTTCATGAGAATAGCATGAAAACTATTAATGAACCAAGCCGCCGGTTTCGGTGAGCTTGGAAAACTTCTTCTAAACTGGAGCATATTTGAACAAACAATGACCTATGTCGTTCACAATAATGTTATGTTCTAATCCATAGAAGAGAGACAAACAATTCGGGAAAAAGCTGCGCATGCCCTAGAAAAAGGGATGATAAGGGTGAGACGCGGTAACGCGTCTCAATGTCCAACGAGGTGCGCAAAGTGAGACGCGTTACCGCGTCTCAATGTCGTCAATGTGTTAATAGAATGTTCCATTGTACGTCATACATCGCTCACGCACTGCGACTCGTCCGCGACTCTGCCTTCTTGCCGCGCGACGGGCCTCCTGGGGGGAACCCACAGCAAATCCATGAAGCGGGACGTTTTTGAGTATGCTTTTTTGAAAAATTTTAACGTGACTTTTTTCAGGGAGATACATAGCAGTCGTCACGACATATGAAACATATTTGATGAAGCGAACTATAACAGTGGCAGCAGTCCGAACACTGCTAGCACGGACGACAAAGAGAAGCAGCTCACACCCACCAGTAAGTTACTTATCGTTACCTACTAACTTACGTTTAAATTCGAGTTCATTGCACAGAATTCATAAAATCTCCTGTTGCCATTTTTCGACCCCATAGCGAGTTGAAGACGAATCCTTTTAAAACTACTAGTGTTATAATCAGTGATATCTCAGCATCAGCCCCTCCTCGTAAAGGAGCGCTTGACAAATTGAGTGGAAGACGGCGATTCGAGGTTTATAACTGTTTCGTGACTCTTGCTGCTTGTTAGTTACGGCGTGGTCCTCTAGCAAACCTGAGTCGCGGTACACGATAACACTTGACTTCCTCAATCCGTTCTTCGCAGTACTCATCTTAAGCAGCAGTGGATATCGTCAAGCGGTTCGCCGTCTGGACCTCATGAAGCTGCCAGACTTTGACGACTTGTCACTCTGAGCGCCTTGAGAGAGATCTCGGCGTCGTGTTTCAGCGCGGCGATCACGAGAATCGGATATGTCGCATGGTTCCCGCTCTTCCGCTGCCTCATTCCAACTTCCCGTTCCTTCGTCGACCTCCCATTCGCCACTTTCTTTTGTGTCTCCTCATTCAAAGGACGTCTGCCTGCCCTTGCCACATATCTAAGCTCGGCTCCTGCACCCTCCAGCCCTCAGAACGTTCTTGGAGATTGTATTGGAAAGAGCCTCCGGATGTGCGAGCCATTGTTAGTAAATGCCAATATCGATTTTACGCGCGCAACTCCAAAGCCCAATTCGGAGTGCACTTCTAGTAGAGATAAAGAGCGCGGAACAAACTCATTTTTGTTGTAATCTCGTCACCGTACTTGCTTTTCTCAAAGGCGGGTTCTACGTTGAAAAGGCAGTCCATTGGAAGTCAAGGTAGAGATGGTCAGTGGTGCAGAGATGAAAAAACAACCATGAGAAACGGCCCAGGACCCGAGAAATGGGATCCCTTGACGCTAACAGTCTCTATTCAAAACGGGGCCAACGAGGGGGGGGTACCAAGCGCCTATGGCCGAGAGAAGCCAACACTGATCCCAAACTAATCTTGCGTGTCGGCCTGCACCCTTGGGGGTCCCGCCTGTCCTCTCACTTGGTAAGTTTCCCCTTTTTCGATTTTCGACCTCATCGTGGAATCCTCCTTTGAATGTTTTTCAGCTAAAACAAATGAGTGGTTACGACATTTGCCGCATGGAAAACGATAGAAGCCCTACTTCTTCACCGAGAACCTCCGACGACATCACACCGACGCCTGACGATCGCATAAGCGGATCGTCAGACCCCCGGTAAGTTCATTTTACGGGTGTACTCCCGAAAAATGTCAATGCATTACTTAATTCTTCAGCGGTTCCCAACTGGATGGACATGGCGATCCGGTCGAGAAGCACGCACCAGTGAAACGAAAGAAATTCCCTTTGGGAGCTAGCGAAAACGAACGCCGCTCTCAAGATGTGGTGGTGGTGCGGTTCTGATTTAGCCCGCTTGATCCCACTTCATTTCCTGCACTATCCATTGGGATAGGAATCGATTGAGGATAGGCTATAGCTGGCCGAATAATCAATTCGTGTAATAATAGTTCTAGAAAGCTCAATGAAACGAGGTATTAACCATGTCACAGGAATTATGAATGTGAAATTCTTAGAGGCTGGGATGTGGGCGGGCAAGGGGCGGGCAGTCGTGTCTCATCTAGCGGCAGCCACTTGAGAGGGCCAGTAGGACATTCGTCAGTGGCTATCCCTGGGATTGACCACCTAGCAGCGCGCTCGATTCCCTTGCACGATTTCTGCTTCTAAATTTTCTCAGATGCTTGAGTAGAAAAGGCACTAAAGGGACTTTGCTGAGTACTGCTATGCTTTTCTCAGTATTTGAGGCATCTTCTTCAGGCTCTTATTTTTAACTATTGTCACCTGATGTCGCATTTCTTATACGTCTTGTTCCGTGAACAAAAATCGATATGTATACTTTGCACTATTCCATGCCATCTGCCTTTATCACCTTTATCCTTATCAGAACGGAGTGACTTAATGAAGCCTTTTTGTTGGAAGATTGCCTCCTGGGCTATACGTATCTCTGTAGAACTATCAGAACTCAGGGCACTGGGATAATAATTATGCCTTAAGAATGTAAATGTTTTTTGTAAGCTGTGCTAAATAAATTGTTTTTTTTGTTAGAACTCCTTTCTTACCTTTCAACTATTCCGCATTCTATGCATATTACACTACATGATAGCTGAAGATTGCAACGTTTTATCAGTTAAGTTGGGATGCGCCACGCGCATTCGACATCCATTCAAGGGCGTGGAAAGTCCGAATATGGAAGAGATGTAGGCAATGACGCGGTGATGCTAATCTGTGCTTTGAAATGGCCGTGCTAGGCTTACTGCACTTTTGGGCCAAAACAGGGGCAATGAATCGACTCCAGAGGAGTTCTGGGTAGGTTTTCTTTTAGAAGGATTCGTTTCAATGAATACAAGGGTGTGGTGCGCTACTTCTTAAAGTGACGGCATGCGCGTCCAAGGCTGGGTGAGTCACAGGTTCCGCAGTTCGGCTGAGTCCTTTTGAGAATGTGAGACGGCGGTGACTCACGACGCCTTCATCGAGGAGCAACGCCCTTCCAAGAAGTGAGCACAAGCAATACTTCACTCTGGCCTCTACGCTTTTTTCGCCCTCTATATGTATTGGCTTGGAGTGTTCCTATTCAGAGTGTTGTTTCTTTGTGCCATAACGGTTTGTTATGGTGACCAAGCATAACAACCTGTATGGCAACAGATAGAAACAACACAATAATCCCGAAATGCAGGTTCCGACCAAAAACCGGCACATGGAACCTAATTCACAAGAGTTTAATCGGTCTGCTCAGTCGGCGTGATACACATGTGCACCACGCCACCGACAAGAACCAATTTTGCTTGAATCGTTATAGATCCTTTTGACGCCTTGAAAATTTGCTAAAAAACCTTTACAACGGAGACGGGTGCTAGATATGTACTAATTTTCACCCCAATTACTTACACCTGGGACTGCTGGTGGGGAGGGAATTGTGAGCCCTACCAAAAAACGCTGTAATAATGTCAATGCCGCAACAGAGCAAGACAGTTTTGATAATTCCTGAAGGCAGCGATTGACGATAGATTCAAGAAGGGTTCAGAGAAACGTGGTGATTGCTCAGTGGTACGCGTTGGAAAAGCGGAGAAATCCGTCAGAAAAATGCAAAATTGACCTGGCCGTTGGTTTTCACTCACGAATAGGGTGACAGCCTAAGAAAGCGGGCGTATGAACGAGTTCAGCGCAACGCGTTTGGTAACACCATGCCAAATCACGCTCCAATCGAGCTGCTCCAGTTGTGCCGCTGCTGGCAACGCAGCTCGTCCAAATCACCAAGTGAACTAGTGGGCGGATCGCTTTTGGGGGCGGAGTGCTTTCGAAGTCCTGCTCAGCAACCAGCGCACCTTTCGTCGTGAAAGCGCTACACCTCGCTTCCCTGGCAGCCAAGTAACTGATTCGTGTGGTGCATTGCTTCCCCGATGCACTCCCACTTTATCGTAATCGCTGCCTTTAAGGCAGGTCCCCTAAGTTCGTGTTCATCTGCATTCTCTCGTACTAATGCTGAACATAACTCCTACAAGCGGCTGATCCCTAGGGTTTTTCTGGAGGCTTATAGTCTTTATTATGACCTGTAAAAGACACGAGCTTGCGGGATGACGAAATTGGTCTATCCAGCCCGATTTCCGCATTGACTTTACGAATCGTCTTTACGAGCCGAAGCATTTTACATTACGCTCTGTTAAGCTCAGCTGTTCTGTAGAAATGGAAAACGGTCCGCAGTGAAGATGTAGCTACGAAACTTTCTAGAATACATTTTTAAACTCCCTCGCACCCTAAAATTTTGGAAGGATATGTAACTTAAAGGCAGTGTTCACGTTGCTAAGGAACTATTTCAATGACGTCATTGAATACCATTAGCGGAAGGGCAATGGAGGGTAGCTCCACCCACTCCCCGCGATGAAGTGTTCTATCAGCGAAAAGTCTTTCAACGACGGTCATCACAACTACACCGCCACCGGCCAAGCGTGATCACTGTCTTCAGCCAGAAGCGCGAAAGTGACTTATGTAAGAAGATATAAAACTCAAGTAAGATCCTGACCACTGTCTTTAAGCCAGAAGTGCGAAGGACTTATGAAGAAGATAAAAACTCAGTAGGACCACCCCCGTCCTACACCATGAACGGGGTTGCTCGCCATTTCGGTCCATTATAAAAATTAACTCCGAACAACGTGATTCTTTTTAATCGATAGCGCTTGCCGAAATGTGCCACAAGAAGCTTGCTGATCCTTCAACGGGAAGCAACTGTTTTACGATTCGACCGTTTTACAGCACAACCAGAGGTGATAGCGAGCTGGCACCATTCTCGGCAATGCGGTTAGCGACGTTAGCGTTGAATTTGGCGCTAGCGTTACTTTTCCATGGAGTCACTGGCGACAGAACAGCCACGTGCTACCAACGATCTCATCACTGATCTGCCTGGCATCACTTTCGTCACGAATTTCCAGCAGTTCTCTGGCTATTTGAATGCCACAACCACTTCCAGCTTCGGCAGCACGTCTGTCTTTTATTGGTTAGTGGTTTTGTATGCTCTTAAAAATCCTTTGCAAGTATAAACTACTTTGACTGTGACTCATGAAAAAGTTATGCTTACGTAGAGCATTTTCATGGGCTGTATAGGCAGAGGTAAAGTAAGTTGAAGCTAAGGATTTGTTGCACGCTGGAGATCCAGTTCTTTCAAAGCCGCGCAGTCATCTCAAAGCCAAACCCCTTCCCCTCCTATCACCCCTTCATGTTGCCCTTTTCCAAAGAGTGACCATGCACGTATAAATAGGCTGGCTTAATTGAATTGGTCCCGTTGTGCAAGACTGATGCGCCGTGCATACACCTCCACGATCCTCAGTGCATATCAAATGTGCGACGCAATCAGAGAGATTATCCATATTGCGTCGCGGATAATCGCCGATCTCAACGATGGAAATGAAGAAATGCTACCGCCCTTGTCGGCCTAGGTTGTGTTCAGGAAGTTCAGAAAAACCTCTTACTGTACTGAAGTCAAAGGGTGCGGGACGATCTCATAAACCTTTGTCTTCTGCTTTTTGTGGAAAACGATAATGTTTGACCGAGTAGATGACAAAAGATCAGGCATAGTTAATAGTCTGCGACTCCAGAGTAGAGGCGAATTCGCGAAACGAGTTTTATGCGTATTCACTACGAGAACCAGCGCTTGGGAGAATCGCGGAAGCGAAACGTCGAAGCATCGGTGAAGAGGGATGGATAGGTTTTAATCACTTGATTTCGCTCCATATGAGTCGAGGAATCGCGGAACCAATTTGTCATTCTCCTATTCTCTCGATCGATTCTTATATATTATCTTTCGAGAATCCACCTATCTCCTATTCTCTGAGTCCGTCTATTGTGAACAATCCTATGGTGGCCTACTGTGAGCTCAGCTTATCGATCTCCCCTTGCTACATCATGTCCATTCCTTCAAGTTCATTCATTTATTTTGCTCGAGTTTTATTCAAACTACACAATGCCCGTGCCTGACCTTTCTAGACTAAAAGAATTTGTGAAGCTTTTTGGTTGGTTAGACGTTCTGTTGCTCATCATAGTTCTTTTTTTTTTCAACAGAAGCGAATTTTGACTTACAAGCCAAAAACTGAGATTACGGTAATTCGCACGCACTGGTGCAACGAATTGTCACCCCCCAACTTTCTCAGTGCCGAATTCTCTATCACTCTTATAATAATCGAATAAGCGACGAATCTCACCCATGTACATCTCCTCCTCACTATCCGCTTTCGCTCAAGCAATGATTATTTAGTCAACGCGGGCATTATACCACGAACCCATCCTCTTTTTTGAGGCGGAGCGGAAGTGGTGTACAGTGACAAGTGGCGCGCTTACCACGCGAGCGGTCCGGGGATCAAATCCTGGGTCGTGAGTCGCCCGGGCCAACCAAGCCTTCCATCCCTCCGGGGTCGGTTAATTGGTACCAGACTTGTCTGGGATGGACTGACTTGTACATCGGCTGGCCCCCGCAAGTCATTGTATAGGCCACATCGCATTCAAACGCCACTGCGAATGTACAAATGGAAGTAGAATGCGTGCCGCATCCCAAAAAGGGATTGATCAACGGCAAATGCTTTATCCTTTATCCTTTATCTTCTTATACTTTCTTCTCGGACGACGACTTTTACAGAAAAATTGACTAACTTCATGCAACATTCATTGCGACTGGACAAATGGACCCTATCGACCCTGGTGACAAATCGAACCAAGTCTCTAATCTTAACCAAGGGAGCGCTTGTCGCGATAAGATAGGAAGCATCGAGTTTCCGTAAGCGAAAGTGATGCCAATAGGGGAAAACGGGCAGCATAGACGGAGTTTGATGCGTTATGAATTAGCAATCTTAATAGCCAGCCTGAGAAAAGTGTTAGTGAAATTATTGAAAACGTCCTTTAGGAAACTATCTTTTCCGCGGTTGCTTCTGAAAAATTTTACGAGCTTACAAAAAGAAGAGTGTTGAGTTGAGTGATCAGACATCACAGAAAGAAATTGGTAAAGAAAGCAAGGAGATACACACACCACCTGATTACATCGAACTTCAGCGTAATGGAATGCTTGGGCTGATGAAATAGTCTTCGAAAGCTTCTGCCTAACAGGTAGAAGCCTAGAAAATCAGGCACGATTCTTTCTTAACTCGTGAGGGCTATCCACTCACGGAACGACAATCCACTTGGTTTTTATTCAAGGGTGCACTCTGAAGTATAATATGTAGTTTGCCTTCGTTTGCCATTTGATATAGTACTTCAATTTTCAGTGCTACATACTTCACAGAATTATTGGAGAGTGCCTCCGTAAAATCTCGCGTTCATGCTGCAAAATGCGAATGGCTGATTGGTGATTCGCTAGTTCAGCCTTGCGTCCAACGAGTTGCAGCCCTGCCTCCAAAAAAGCGTCCGTTTCGAATCAGCACAGGCGGAACTTCATTGTATTAGGTTTGTGAGGAAAAGTACGGAACGCCGTAGTTACCAAACCTTAAAAAATTCAAATGTGCAGTAGATTGACTCAAACCCAACATTTTCGCTCGCAGTAAGAACTGTTACAGTTTACCTTTTTTCGCCAGAGTTCAATCTGCTCAATTCGTCCGCTAGAAGTACTGGAAGTTCTAGAGGCTATGAGCAAGGCCCAGGTCGTTTCATTACCATGTTGGATTTCGCAGCATTTCTCTTATAGGATGCTATCCAGACGGTTGAAAAAGTAGCCGTGAAAAAGTATGAGATCTAGTGCTGTAAAGGAACTTGTGGAAAATTCAGCAGTCCCAGCCGGATTCATTTCTTCAGGGTCGGTTCTGCGGTACTGCGTTCTTAAAGGTGCTTCGCGTAGAGGAACCGGCCATTTACCCCAGTCCAAGCTGGGCGCATTTGTTAAGATTCTGAGGTATTTTGACATTTCACAGAGAATACCGCTCCACTACAATTGTCCTGCCTGTGCTGGAGAGCTGCGCCTGCTGCAGACCGCGTAAGATGCAACACGACCTTCTCCTCGTGCAGTTTCACCTTTACGAAGCTTTGTTGACCTAGTCGTGATCGAACTACTCACCGAAGTTCATACATTAATACGAAGAACCCGTTCAAGATTGTAAATCGAAATCCGGAGGATCGCTTTTATTGGGTGGAAGAGGTAAGGAGAAGAGCAGACGGTCCTACGGCGCCGCGATTTTTCGCGGCACCACCATATCGGTTTTCCCGCACTTTTCGATTACTCTTATTTGTGACTTCAAGCCATAATTCAGTTATGCCTGATTCAGCAGCGGGCTTTTCAACAGTTTTGAGCTTAATGGTCCTATTAGACTTGACAGCTCCTTTCACCAGCAATCGATATCCAACGACCACCTCACCACCTTCGAGGCTTTCGTCATCCCTGAACAGGCGGCATAGCACATTTTTTGTAAGCACCAGGCCGCATCAATATTTGGGTTGATTCCGCTCCCTCTGTCCTAATTTGAGTTGGGAGAAGAAAGTCGTGCAGATTTGCTTGCTGAGTGTGCAGTATTCAGAACTTCGAAAAAGCGTAACCTTTAGCTCCTGAGCACAGCCGACAGTACCGTTGAATAGACCGGAGAAATGTGCTTCCTAGAAATATGCGGAACGCAGCAGCCTGCGAAAAAACGTGGTCAGAAATATACCTTGAAAGAGAACAGTCAAAAACGGCAAAAACTCTCCTCACAACCTGATAGTTTAACTACGGACTGTGCTGCCCTCATCCTTTGAGAGCGTCCGTTTTCATCCACACTTGGAGCAAATGATTCGCTTGCCGGTGTTGTCAAACGACGCGTTGGGCCAGCTTAGCTTACGACCTTCTTTCTTCTACCTATCTAAACCCTATCTAGAGAATTCTAATCGCTAACGGGTATAAATATATAAATAATACAAATATATAAATAAATATCCAACTTCAACTGATCAAAAGTTGAAATTGTATATTTTTTGATTGGGTTTCATTTTATTTCACCGAGAGATTCTCTGTAAATCCAAAGAACCAGCACAATTCTTTACTATTCAGGCATATAGAGTCGCAAAATGATCCGAGCACACGATCCTTTGGTCCTGTTCATCAAT